ATGCATTCAGAGTGTTTTTAGTAGTAAAAATCATGTCTTGAAGTCCAAATTTAGAGGGTTTAGCCTCCCCTCTTTGTGTCTTGTTTGCTAGCCTAGTTAGTGCCATGTGTTAGCTTATTTTTCTAGCTTGTTGTAGCTTAATTCCAGCATGTTTTAGCTTCTATTTTAGACTGTTTTGCCTCTGTTTTGGACTGGTTAAGTCATTTGAGTCTTGTTTTGGATGGTTGTAGTGTAAGTGTTCTCACAAGCTTGGTGTTCTAGGCCTTTAGGCACCACTTATTTGAGTTGATGGCATGTTTTTAGTGCTTTTCATGCTTAATTCCAGCAAGCATAATCTCTGCAACCTTTCTCATTTTTTCACTCTTTGTTTGTTTGAGGGTTGTTTCGACCTTGGTATGGTTTAAGCTTGAGATTGAGGTCCATACTTAATGGTTTAATCCTCTTTTGGGGGTTCATTACCAACGGCATGACACTTCTCTCTTGCCCTAAACTACCCTTTGTTTGACACTTCCTTCTCTTTTAGAAAACTTTCTCACCAATGCACTTAATTGGTTAAAGGATGGAATGGTAAATTAAAATGGGTAAACAAAAATGGAAACTAAAATTGTGTAAGATTTGGTTGTGTTTTGGTGTGTTCAAATCGGATGTTAATTTGAACACAAGGAAAATTAGGACATTTCATACTCAAAGTGATGAAATGTGCCAAGTTTCCTAGGTCATCACTTCCCTTGATCTTCCATGAAAGGGAGGTGGTTTGTGTCTTGTTTTGTTGCATTTATCAAGATTGAACATTTTGAATCACAAGCCATTATGCAATGAAATTTCTTAAGTTGGTGGTTTGTGGCTTAAGCTCACAACTACTTGGATTTGTTCATGAAAAGAAAGGGTGATTTGTGCTAACAATCTGTGGGAATACCCTCTTCTTGCTCTGTTTGTTCTCTGTTGCAACAAGTTGAACCAATGCATCAGTGGCCAGCAGGCCACTATCCATAGCCGGCAGGTGGCCGGTAGAGCACCATTGATGGCCGGCAAGCGGCTAGCAGTCTTTACTAGTGGCTAGCTAGCCATTGATGCAAACCTCAACAGAATGTTAGTAAGATGGAGCAAAATGGTTCTGAAGGTGTTAAACTCTGCAAATAGAGGCTCTCGGGAGTGAAACTGAGGTCTTTTTGGGTGATATTCAAGCATGTGCATCTCTCATTTCCCGAGGCAGAGTAATGGCAGAGTAGTTTAATACTTTAATTATTTAGCTTATTTGCATTTGTGTTATAATTTAATTAGCTTACTAATTAATTAATTAAAATTGTTGTAATAATTAGTTAATTAGTTTAGCTAGTTATTCATTTGGTTTGTAATATTTAGCTTCATTAGCTTAGCTCTAATTAGTTGCTAGTTAGTTTTGCTTTATTCATTCGGACTCTCTTTCGTAAGAGCGTAATGTAATAATGTGTATGTCTTCCAACCCCACGTCTTTCTCCCTTTTATTTATCCTCTTTTGATGGTTAGTTTAGGGACATATTTCAATTAGCATACCTTATGCTTGCATCCATTCACCTTGTATTGCATGTACCGAGGCTCGGCGCATCATTCTCACTACATTATCATTTCAAATGCTTCTTTGAATACGTGCTTAGACCGCATGTCTTGAATCGATTCACATACCACATTAGTAGCCGAGCCTATTAATTGCATATTGCATGCGTTGCAATAGGCATTTTAATCATGAATATTTTTCTAACTAGCTTCCTTTTTTAGCTTGGAGTACTAGGTGAGTTTTTAGTGCTTTAAAGTACTTGCATGAGTGTGAGTTATTGCCATGTCTAGCATGCTTGCCATGAGGCTAAGTGATTAAATGCTAAACTACTTGAATGCTTGTAGATGAAGGCTTAAATGTTAAACTACGTTTAAGCCCACTATGTCTAGTGGCAAATTCACAGTTTTAAGCCCACTTTGTTGAGTGGCAAAATTCGCAAACTTTAAGCCCACTTGAGGTGGCAAATTCAAACCCTTTTCACAAAACAAACATGAAATTGAATTGTTCCAATTTGGGCAAACTAGTCTATACTTGCTTGTGCGCATCACATAATAATGCTAGCCTAATAACTGAAATAAGAACACATAATGTTGATAAAAAATCATATCATGATTAGTAGAAGCCGATCTTTGATCGGGCGAGCGGAGATGCTCAATTCATGACCTTCCCCTCTCGTACCTAAGTTCCCGAACCGAGATAACTTTGGTGATGACGGACACGTGGCCTTTGGCACGAGTCATGGGTTTCCTAAATTTTTCCAAAAATAAAATATTCAGATGGCGACTTTGTATCTGGCATGCAAGTCACTCGAGTTCAAGATGTGTCGAGAAGTTTGTCGCTCGAGCAAAGATTACAAAATCCTAGAAGTTTTTCAGACACAAGACCCACGTTCAAGCATAAGAAGCACTGCTCAAGCGAGCATACCTCAAGTGCAAGAAGTACTTCTCGAGCGAAGAATACCAATTTCCAATATGTCTGCAGACCTGTAAAAGTATTGGAAGTTCACAAAGACCGCTCGAGCGCATGAAGTGTCGTTCTAGCAAAGAAGCCAAAATCTGGGCAACAACCATTTTGAAAAACTAACTCCCGACATGTTTCAAACACAACCAAAGCACAATGATAACCAAACTCAATGACGCGTGAGATGAAATAAGACATGAACGGATACAACAATAGAACCCGGATCCAAAACATCAAATAGGTCGGGTCTAAACCAGAATCGCTATAGTATGCATAGTTTCACTAGGTTAAAAATGCTAGTCAATAATTTTTGTTTCGTTTGTGTACAAGTAATTTTGGAAGCTTGTGGTGTTTTATTGTGCATAATTGTTTTTCTTCTAATTTAGTATTATTTATCATTTTTTACTTTTTTCTGTCCTTGTTAAATTTTATGGTAGATATTTGCTTTGCTTCTTATAGCAATAATTTTTAGAGATAAAATCTAATTGTCTCTAAAGAGATTGTTATTAGCAAATTAAAATTTTAAGTTGTCACCAAAAAGTTTGCCAAAGATGACAATCTGCAAAAGATTTGTTGCTAAATTGCTGAAGTCAGAATAAAATGTTTAATTTTCCAATAAAATTTACCTTTGGCGACATCTTCGTGACATGTTTATAATTGTAGCAAAATATCCTTAGTGGCAAAAAAAATTGACTTATGGCAATGATTTTATACGTCGCAAAAAATATCTTTTCTGGTAGTGATAAGAAAGAGGGAGAGAGGCTCTTTTGAACATTTGCTACTTAATTCACTAATTTTTGTGCTACTTTTTTAATCATCAAGATTTCTCTTGATTGATGGCTCTTTATATTAAGGTAAATTACACTCATCTCTCTTGAGGTTTCTGATAATTATATTGGTCGTCTCTCATTTTTCTAAAATTACATTGACCTTCCTTGTGACTAAAGACATTAATGGAATGCTTAGTTCAGTCATTTTAATATTAGAGATATTTTTTGTTGATAGCTATTAAACGTGTGATTATTATTTTGGTTATACCTTATATGTTGTTTGGTTATAACTCATTTTTTTTAGTTATGATTGAAATTTTTTTAATTATGTCATTTGTGGTAATCAACACCATAAATATTATAACTTATATATTGTTCACATAAAATGGTGTGTATTCTAGAATAACCAATTGTTATGACAAAAGTAATGATAAAAAAAAATTAAAAAATTAATTACATAAATATAATATATGTTATTTGGTAATTTTAATTAATACTTGATATTATACAGTTTAGTTATTTTTTAAAAAAATAAAATAAAATTGATGAGTCTCACTATCTAAACTAATAAAAATCAAATTTGAGCACATGTATTTGTTTGAGTAGTATTAAATAATTTTTCTAAATATTCACACGATTTGATTATAAATACATATATATATATATATATATATAATTTATTACTTTACATACGTACAAGTTCTTGTATTTCTCATTTGACTTCAACAATTCATCTTAATTTGTTTACATAAAAATTGATTAATTGATTTATTTTATTCTTAATTTACAGATAATTACTTCAAATATTATACAAATCAAACTAAAATCCCCCTAATAATTAACCACTGAATTTTGTATAAAAAAAATAAAATAAAATAGAATCTTTTTTAATCAAACTAACGGTCAACTAATAGATTGCATGAATATGCATATTAAAAGTAAATTTTAAGGGAGATTAGTGTAATTTTAGACAAAGGAGGGGAGGCCAGTGTAATTGTCAGAAACCTTAAGGGAGGTGAGTGCAATTTATCCTTTATTTTATGTATATAAACACAATATATAGTGAGAATATATTTAAAAGTATGGCCTCCTTCTACTTGGTTCTAGGCAAGAACCCCACATGCCTCATTTTGACATTCAACTGTTTTTAATGAACAACCAATCAACATCATATAGACCCAAGCGTTTATCTGTTCAAAATATTGAAGTGGTATTTGGATTAATTAAAATAGTGACACATTGATTCTTTCATTTAGACAAATTGGTGAATGTGGCTACATGATGCTATTTGCTATGAAAAATACATCATATTGATTTACTACTATCATGAACAAATATGAAATGCCTCATCTAGCGTCTAGTGTTCAACATTTACTTTCACTAAAACTAATTGTACATTGTTCACACGTGTTTTAGGATGGCAAAACCAAACAAAATTTGTCAACACAAACCAAAACTCTGTAGCAGACTGTATTTAATAAAATAATAAAAAAAGAAAATAGGTCGATTTGGTTTGGTTCAACCGATTCAATCAATTTATATTATTTTTTTAAAAACACCTACATAAAACTAATGCTATGCATTTTTGCTACTTCACCTCATTATGCATATTTTCCCCAACATGTCCAAAGAGAAGTTCTAATATTTTGTCTCTTAGATGTGTGATTCATTGAGTGTGTACAAAAATATATAGACGTATTTTCATAACTTTCAAAGGCTGTAATTTTAGCAGGAAATTTCTCAAACTAACTCAAATTTTACCCAAATACCTAATAGTTCTGCAAACATGATTACAAGAATTAAGTATACATGTATTTGTCGTCCAATATAAGGTTGTGGAACTGAAATGGCTTGAAAATTGATCATGAACAATTGCTACACATTATACATAGTTTTGAGGACAATTATCAAGCTATCTAGCGACCTGTAAACTCGGTGAAAGATGCAGTGGCATCGGATGTTGATGGACCAGTGGCAGCGGTTGCCTCCTCACGAATCTTCTTATCATTGTCAATTAAGGTAGGCCTTGTTGGCCTTGTCAGCTCAATTGAGCGCTCACTTACAAGCAAAACAACTACTTCAGACATTGTTGGCCTTACAGAAACTGGCGATTGAGTGCACATCAAAGCAATCTCTATCACTTTCTTCACCTCTTCCTCTCTGTACTCATTCATGCTATCATCCACCAACTTCAAATGCATGTCATCCTCATACAGCTTCCATGCCTATTAAAAACCATCATTCAAAAGCACAACGTAGGAAAATCTTGTTAGGAATCTATAACACTTAACTCGGATCGGTCAGATATGAAAAACAAAGAAGAACAAAAGCCCAAGTCATATGCACATACAAGAACATAAGATTTTCATGGTTCACCCCAAACTACGGTTACATTCACAGTTGTCGTGGTTCTATTATGATAAAAAAATGCTACAACAGAAACATATAGAAATTAGGATAATAGGTAACAAAGAAATACCAAAAATACTCTTAAATTTAGATAGGGAGTAAGCCCCCTATACCCTCATCTTCTAGCAAGGGCTTAGTGTGTAGTATTTATCAAGATCCACACTATCCCAATAGATCTTAGCATATAGGTCAAGTAAGACTAGAAGATAAAACTCCCCAAGGGAAGTTGTACAGAATGCAATGCTGGCAACCACTGCATTCATCCAAATAAAGTGCAGATATGGTCAAGATGAATGCCAACACAACTATTCTGTTCATTTTACTAGACAAATTTCTACATTTTTTTTTGGTTTATTATTAAGTTTAGAATAATGCTATACAAATAGAATTCATATGGTTCATTGGAAATCAGAATGTCCATCAATATGGTTCATGATTTCAAGAATGTCATTGCCACATGTTCTGTTCTTAAATTCTATATAAAGAGTCTATATGAAAATGACCATCATTATGAAAAAGTCATGTGAAGGTACCTGTTCAAGGAGAAATTCAGTAGATTCGACCTTCATTTCATTACACTTTCGGCCACTTATGATTTCAAGGACAACAACACCGAAGCTGTAAGTATCAACCTTCTCAGACAACTGTCCATGGATGGCATATTCTGGTGCTGTATAACCCCTGTTGCATGAGAAACTAGTTAGTTATCATTCAATGGTTTCAAATATTTTACTAGAAGTACTAGATTTGTTACATGAAAACATATCACTGGTTTAATTTCAATTAGGCATCAAAATAGCCTCTAATACAATCCATTATATCACTCACAAAAATTATGGATGTAAATCACTCACAAAATAGCCTCAACATTGTTCTTTTAGGTATCTTTTCAAAGATATGAAATATCAGATATGAAAACCATTAAAAGATTTGAAACTCGACATTGAACATAGGGATTAATTAGCTGGGAAATGGTTGGTTTCATGCTTACAAGGTCCCGGCAAATCTGGTGCTAAGATGACTTTGATCCTCAGGTAGAAGCCTTGCCAATCCAAAATCAGCTATTTTGGGTTGGAAATCATCATCTAGTAGAATATTGCTGGATTTTATATCTCGATGTATGATACAAACATGGAATTGCTCATGAAGATAGGCAAGACCCCGGGCTGTCCCAAATATTATCTCAAACCGTTGTTTCCAGTTCAAGGCACCTCTTCTTTCACCTGTTAATAATATGAAACTTTCCCACATGAAGTAGAAACTAATATATAAGAAAAAGAAATTCAATGTCTCCTCAATTTTTTATTTTTTATTTTTTTACCATATAAGAACCTATCAAGACTTCCATTTGCCATGTACTCATAGACAAGTAGTAGTTCTGGCCCTTTGTTGCTACACCCTAGAAGTCGGATGAGATTTCGGTGATGCACATTACTAATAAGCTTCACTTCACTTTCGAAATCAGCCTTTGCTCTACTCGAACTTAGAGCTAGTTTCTTCACTGCAATTATATTTCCATTTTTCAGAGTACCCTGTTCAATGACTTAATGATGAGATTGAGAATATAAATATGCAACATTCAATTTGTGAATCAAAAATTGTAATGAAATTGGTTGGGATTGTTTGTCTTATTTTTTGTTGAATTTGGATTGAAGGCTGACTTTAAGGATTAAACTAGGATTAGTAAGGGACCTATTTATACATCTTGTGGGATTATTTTAAAGGGCAAAAACTCAACTTTAACTTGTTGGATTCACAAAAGTGAAGTTATTCATTATCTTCATCATGAATATGCCAAGGCTCCTCTATTTGCTGTTGGAACTAGTATTGGTGCTAACATTCTGGTATGTTGTGATTGTTGGATCTGTTTTATACCTCATATATTTAAGTGTGATGTTCAAATTGAATTTAAAAAAAAAAAATCTATTTCCCTGAACGTTGGCCACGATTAGTTCTGTTTCTGTTACTTGATAAATT